GCAGTTCCTGGGAGCAGAGGGTGTTTCTGATGAGCTGCAGAGGAGCTGAGCCCAGGGGCTGCTCCTCAAGGCTGATGCCTAAGGAGCATTTCTGCAGCCTGGAAAGGGGGAGGGGATGCACCAGCAAAGGGAGGGTGACACTGTGGATATCCAGGAATCCCCCAGTCACTGTCCTGGGGTCCCTCAGCAGTGCAGCAGGAGGAATCACCAGACTCAGCGCACAGCTCCCATGGCAATATCATCGATGCCGGCAGGGTTTTCTTCTGGCTCCTCAAAGAGCCTTCGAAGGGAGAGCCGGAGGGACTCCACAGAGCAGTGCCTCCAGCAGCTCACTACCAAGAAATAGATTAAGGGTTTGATGCTGCTGTAGAGGCAGGTGAGCAGGAAAGCCACCGGGGAGGAGAAAATGGTATAGCCAAGCTCCTGCAGTAAATTCCAGAGGCTGAGGGGGAGTGTGAAGAGCACAGTGAGGCAGATAACAATGTCGAGACTCTTGGGTTGCTGCTGGCGGGACCCAGACTTGACCTTAATGTAGAGGATTGTGATGGAAATGAGCATGAAGAGAGCACAGAGGAGAAGGTTGAAGGCGTACATGGAGATGAGAGACACCCGGCAGTGCTCAGGTGGCAGGAACGCACACAGGGAAGTTACAGTGGCAAAGAGACTGATGACAGTGATGGAGAATGCCCAAAGCAGGGCACACACCACCTTCGACAGGTGCTGGGGACGGTGGCAGCAGCGCCAGAGAGGGCAGTTTATAGATCTGCACCGCTGGATGCTGATGAATGTTAGTGCGTAAAGCCACATGCTGCAGGAAATCAGAGGTAGCTGGAAAAGAAACCAAACATAGTGCAAAGGCACGATGACGGAACAGGACACACCCTCCCGCAGGAAAAGCAGACTGTAGGGGATCATAATGAGGAGGAAGAAGAAGTCGATAAAAGTCAGGATGAAAATGTAACGGGTGGTGCTGTTCCTGCACAAACTGCGGAGGCCCAGGAGCCAAAGGACAGCCCCGTTGCCAGCCAGCCCACAGAGGCAGATGAGCAGTGTCACACTGTGTATGGCCACGTTGGTGACATCTATCTCACAGAGAT